GAAGTTAAGAGGAAAAAATACAGCTGCAAGCCTGGTGTACGACAGCTGGAAGCCTAGAGGTTAAGGACGTGGACTTATCGCTATTCGAGGTGGTGCCAGGAAGGACTTTACTGCCATTTAACCTGATTACCTTAAGCCAGTGTTTAGCAACCCAGTGAGGTCACATTTTGATCTGTCCCAGCTCCCAACACACCTGTACCAGGCTGAGCCGTAGCTAGAAATTCTGGGCCCCCTGACAGAAAGTCGTCTTGGGCCCCCCACTAAATTTTACATATGTATTCAAGGGCTCCGGTAAAGTCACAGGCCCCTGAATCTGATAGAGTATCCATGCCCCTATTATGCTCATGGCACTGCGTATTCAGTGTTCTTGATTGGTTGGGAGCTGGGAGGAAGCAAAATGTGGACTGGCTGGGGGTCCCCAAGGACCGGGTTGGGAAACACTGGCATAAGCAAAGGAACCACTTAGAGAAGAAGGTAAGGTGTTTAGACATGCTAAATATGGAAGAGAGTTTGGATACTAAGCAATTAAGTTACATCAATAATGGACAAGGAAGAGTGGAGGGAAGAATAGCAGGCAGTGATAAAGAAAGATTGATGGAGAGCAAAACAATGTGAAGGGTGGAGGGGTAGTGATGGAGAGGATGGGTAACGAGAGGTCGGGTTAAAGAGAGATGCGGAGATGTGGTGGGGGTAGGGTGGTGGGATTATATGTATTTATCAGATCTTGTCTTAGACACCAAGACAGGTGAGTGTGCATCTAGATTCAGGTTTTGTACATGTTCCGAAAAAGTTCCTGCACAAGCAGTGATTGGGGAACAAAGACCTGAATCTAAAGTAACAGAACTCTGCAAAGGTCCTCATTTAGTTTTGTGAAGTTCAAAGTATTTTTGTATGGTTTAGGGTTATAGCCCATCCAGGGTGTGCCCTGGAATGCCTGGGGTAACCATGTGACCCTGGCTGGGGAAAATGATTGGATGATGGATGGATAGGTGCTTGGGTTTGATGTCAGTAATGGGACCAGCATAAACGTCACTGGGAGTAATTGGCACAGGGACTCCGGACCTTGAGATATTTCATTCATACTCTTTGATGCTTGATTAATTGGCAGGACCCAGCCGCACATGAGGTGTGTGGCACACGCACTGAGCTGACACTCACTCTGGGACTTCATTCCTTACCCAGCTGTCCGGCGTGTCTGTTTGTACTTAAAGGTCCATGTATATGAAGCCAGGTATGGAGTCGGCTTGCCAGGCCACCCACACTGCCAGTGACCTGCCCCCCCACCCCACCCCCCACAGTGCTAGGAGCGTCTCAGAAGCAGGGCCCAGTTTAATTTTAGCCCTGTTATTTCGGGTCTTGCTGTGAGGAGCAGAGTGCAGCTTGTTGGTCCTTGGACAGGAAAGGGGGCTTTGTAGAACAGGGAATTTCTCTCTCTCTCTCACACACACACACACACAGAGTCAATCAGTCACTGGCACCTTTACTCAGAAACACAAAAGTACATATGCACACATACCTAGACACAAATGCATACTGATGCATACAGCAGCACACACAGCTAACTATGGGTGTCTCATGTATACATACAAAATACGACATTATAATGGTGTACCTGGCTAATTAAGTGAACTAACCATGAGTAGAGCTCATTTTATGAGCTGCGATCATGTATGTTAAATCGTGTAGCGTGTAGGACTGTTTCGCTCTTGTCTCGCCGCACTTCGGCACATGCGAACATCACCGCCTTTGGTTCTTTTCTTCACTACGTGATACTATGGCAACGTCGCCGAGGTTTGCCGTGGCAACACTCAGGCCCTGGACCCCCACGGCGAGTACAGCAGCTCGAAACCAGGTCAGAGAGAGGCCGGGGCTCTTATTCGAGAGAAGATCGTCACGGAGCCTGACCGGCTGCCTGAGCACAGTTCCTCTTCTCATCATCCCAAACGCTCTTTCCTCTGATATTCCACAGGCGTAATAATGCACACACAGGCAGCGGGCCTGTTCGGGGGTGATCTACACTGAGTACCATGGGCAAGATCGAGAAACACACCCCAGCAAGCGTGTCTGAGCGGGGAGGGTTCTGGAGTCATGCATACGGTGCAGGCTACAGAGATGTATATCACCGTTTCTATTAGGCGCAGTTAACGAGACCTATATCACGCTGACAAGGTGTTGTCAAGGCGACAAACCCGCAGCCCTGACGGCAAAGAACCAGCCAGGGATTATAATGGTATAAGGTAAGGTAATGCTATGGGGGGGGTATACCTGCACAGTGCTCCATCAGTGTATCAGATTAACTGTACAGTGTTCCCCATTCTGGTCCTCAGGGACCTACAGGCAGTCCACGGTTTTGCTCCCATAAGGGAGCTGGGAGGGAGCAAAATTGTGGACTCTCTGGCAGTGAGACCAGAGGGAGCAAAAACGTGGACTGGCGGTGGGTTCCCGAGGACCGGATTGGGAAACTGTCTTAGTGGGTCAACCAGCAGCTGCAGTTATATAATCAAGTAATAATCCAGTGATGACCAACCACCATTCGCAAAAGCCATTACCAATGTTCTGATCGTTTTAATTATGATTACTGGCAGGTGGAGATATGAAAATACACAACTGTTCCATAATATCCTCTCAGCCAGTGTCACGCTGTGTCAGGAGCTGAATCGAGTCTTCTTAAGCCAACCGTGCCCCATCTCCCCCTTCAGTAAACAGCTGGTAACGGCCATGTTTACTCGCCTGCTGCCACACATCAGTCCAAACCGTGTGTGAACCGATGGGCATCATTCAGAGCCGTGCCCAACACCGATGAAATGCAGGATGGTGATAGAGCGAGACAGGAGCGAGATGCCTTTAAGTTGAGAACAGAAAGCTGTGTTTGTGCAAGGAGGCAGATACCACGCCCACCCGCATCACCAATGTGAAGAGGGTACCCGCCCTCTGTCCACCCCCTGTGACCAGTGTTACACCTTTCAACATGCTTATCGCTTTTACTGGGATGACACTAGACTCCCTGTGACTAGCCCTGGACCATTCCACAAGCTTGTCCTTCTTACTGGGATCACACCAGACTCCCATGCTAGTGCCTGTTGAATGGTGTGATAATCACGGCAGGTCCTGTCTCCCACATGCAAGCCCCACTGGGCTGCAGCTATTAATAAATCATTATTACACGCTTCACGTCTGCCACGCGACGATCATTACTATGATTGTTTGGCGCACTTTCAACAAAAGTGATACTAGCTCTCCTCTCCTTTTGCAATATCGTGCCGCTCTACAGCTAGATTCAGTCACGCGAATTCAGATTAAGCACACGGAGGTGCCTCAGTGGGGAATCCGATTCGTAGTCTTCCGGCAGCTACTTGTTGGCCTGGAGTTCTTCTGTATTCATGGAAGAACGCCTGCGTGATAAGCTAGCTGAAATGCTACTGCTAAATGTTTCAAGAGTGATCATCCTGCTACGTCAGGAACTGGAACAGACTCATCACACACACACATATATATATATGCATGGAAGATTTCAGCACGCTCAGTTGTGACAGGGATAAATGTACATGCAGAAAAGACAACAAAACATGGTAGACTAATATATAATATACTGCAAATAATTGCTGTATTGCCCCTCTCTAGAAGGCTGTTAAAATTAGCTTCATTCTTTTGCCATGCAAGGAAGCATCCCTGCTGAAACACCGGTGACTTCAGTACTGGTGCATGTAAGTGCTCACACGCCATGCCTGAAGACCCATGATGTCACACCGATGCTACAGCATCCAAATGCTGCCTGTTTCACTGTATCAATAAAAACCTGCTTACTTATGCGTGAAAATACGAAACATGAGTTTCAATGCTGCCGTTGACCGAACTGATTGAAGTGAAATTATTCCCACACACATTATATATCATGTTCTAGTATATTTTACTATTCTGGGATTATTTCGCCTGCAAAAGAGTCACATATGACAGTATAGAGGACATCGCTCACCCAGTGCAACCTGCCTCCCAGTCGTATTGAACCAGACGAGAGAGCAGGGAGCAGCGAACCAGGCAATGAATGAGCAGCTGACCATGGTGTTCTACTCCTATTGAACACATCATCCAGTGAGACACCCAGGATGCGGACACTCCCAATCTGCTAGGGGAGGGGCAGCAGGTCCGGTCACGAAGGGGCTTGGCCTCGTTTCCCACCTGTCAGCACTTCGGATCTCATCCCTCATCTAAGCCAACGCGCGGGCAGCACCTGTGCTGTTGACGAGCGCCACAATTCTCCAATATATACCTGTGACAAGATGGTGCCCGGTGACATACAGACGAGTAAGGAGTCAGAGCCTCAGCATTCATCAGCTGCACGTTCAGTTACATTAAATGGATTGATGTTCCCTCAGAGAAATGTCTTCTGCTGCCTCCTTCACATTACTTTGGAGGATTTTCAGGCAGTGAGCACAATATTTTCAGAATTGGTTTGATGTAATTTATTATATTTTCTGTTATTTTTTAGCTAAACAGGTCATTTTAGACTTAAAAGGCATTTGCCAAAAAACATGCAGTTTAACCATCGCCTGGGAACAAAAGCCTTTAATGTAACAGGCAAGGGCTTCTTACCTGTAAGCAGCTGAAGAAATTAACCTCAGTGCTCCTTCTATTGTTTTTAATTGATTAACTGTTACTTGGCTCTTTGTAGACTGATCAGATAAGATCAGAGGAATCATTCATATTTGAAGCGTTGGACACAGAACCAAACTCACCAAGCAAACATCAGTGTATGTTTGACATACTAGTTCTCAGTATGGTCTGTATGTTTATGACTTTGAAAAACTGTATCCCATAATGCCCTGCTGTTCCCATGTTACAGCGAGACAGCTGGCGTATCACTGTCCTGGATTACCTGCTACACAGTAGTCTATAGGAAGTTCAGACTGGGTGGGAGATTCATAACCCTGGTAACCTGCGTCCCTAAAACAACGAATGCCCCGCGTCGCCCTCCCATGGCCTGGAGAGGTCATTGCCATTACCTTCCGATCATGGTGGAGTGCTGCTGGACCGCAGCCTCCAGCAGCCGCTCCAGGATGGTCCATTCCCCCATGGTTCAGCGCGGGAAGCATCCACAGAAGAGAAGCTGGACTGGACTGTGACGGGCTGGACTGGGAACTCTTCTTAGAGCCCCCTGCCGTGAAGGTCTTGTCCCCGGAACGGACAGCGAGAGAGAGAGGAGGAGAGACACTTCCACCCGCCGGTCTGGGCTTCTCTGACCCCTGGCTGTGGATGGAACCTCTTCTTGTGTGACTCACTGCTCCCCCGTTGCCATGTGATCTCCCCAAACCGGATCCGGCGCTGAGTTTCAGTGCCCCTGCCCTTCCGCAGCATCAGCCCCAGATCCCCTCCTTCACACTCAGCCTCCACATGTGGAAACTCAGGAATCTCGACCTTCTCGTCTCCTTCTCTCTCCCCTGTGGCAGACGCTCTCCCTCAACCCGAAACGCACGACTCTGCCCCACGTGGAACCTCCCCCCCCCTCCTCCTCCTCCTCGCCCCGAGCGACACTATACGCCTCTCACCACGTTACACCTCCTCTCTCTCGTGCCTCCCACTCCTCTGTTTGGCTGCCTCATCTAAGTGTCCCCGGTTTGACCCAGCTTCTGCTGACCCCCCTAGACCCAGGCGCGTGAGGATCTCCGGCCTGACGCGCCTCGGGGAGACGTTCCCGCCCACTTACACGCTCAGCGCTCCCGCTCCGCTGGATTCCCGCGTGCTGTTCCAGGCGACGCGCCCATACACGGCCGAGGCGGCAAGGACCGGCTCCTAGCCACCGCGTCCGCGCTCCACTCTCCCTCTTCCTCCCTGCTCTGCGTCCCCTCCCTTTCTAGCGCTGCTCCTCTCTGCCCCTCAGTCCCCCAGTCCCCCTCGATGTGGCTCTCCTCCGTGCTCCCTCTCTCCTCTCTGAGCGTGCCACGCTCCCTCCCCTTCTCCCTCCCTCACTCGCTCAACCCCCCCACCCCCCAGTAGGAATGGCGCTTGGTTCCTCTACTGCTTGCCGCTTCACTGGTGCTTGTAAGATGCCGCTCTTCTCTCTCTCTCTCTCTCTCTCTCTCTCTCATGCCTGCTCTCTCTCTTAACGCCTTATTATTCCACCTGGTCTCTGTCTCTCACTCTCTCTCTCGTATACACACACAAATATATTCTCGGGTTTTGACAAATGCCAAGAGGATTACTGAGAAATCACAGTGCTGCCCCTCCTTCCTCCATTTCTCTCCTTCTGTTCCCTCCCTCTTTCACCCAGTTTCCCCCTCTCTTACTCGATCTCTCCATCATCCTGAATTACAGCCCAGAAACCTGTCTTCTACCAGACATCCTGATCTATATCCCTCTTCTCTTTCTACTCTTCCTCACCGTTCCATACCTCCATCCCATCATTACTACCCCCTGGTTCCGCTCTGCCACACAGTTGGGGATGTTGACAGAGGAAGAAGAGGGCAAGGGAGGAAGACAGTCACATGTGGACGAAGAGGAGAAGAGCAGGGTGAGAACAGACCTTTGTAAAATGAGCCATGTGGCATTTCATGTGCTGTGAAAACAGTCCAGGCGGATGAAAAGCCCTGTACAGAACGGCAAAACAAAGCAAGAGAACAGAACAAAAAAAATATATGATTTCCCCCTCTGAACCGCCACGGCGCCTGTGGATCTTTTTCAGAACAGGAACGATAGATGTGTGCAAATCTGGGCCCCTGTTGTGGGTCTGTGTATCATCTACCCAAACACCCCCGGTGATACCCTGCATCTGCCCGGCCAGATCAACGAAGAGCAGCCACACACTGCCTGCTATTCATCTCTATCTGGGGGGGGGCAGCTTCATCTTCATAGAGGTTTGGTAGGAAAAGATGGCTTTTCAAAATGCAGAATGAATTGATAGCTTAATGGTGGCCCCCAAGGCTAGACTAGACTATCGATAGATATGTGGGACCCCAGTCGGCAAAATGTTATGATGGGGGCAGCAACATTTATCACAGGGCTCCCATAGTCCAGGTTGGTGTTCCAGGAAGTAGGATTTCTCAGTTATATGGGTTAGCCTAAGCTAGAAGTCATGAATGTCCAATAAGAATGCTCCTTACCTAAACTGTAATTGGACGTTTCTTGTAGCTTAAGTTAACTGAGCCTAAATTTAGTCCCAGTCCAGCCCTGATACCCATTTCCTCACATGCTTCAGACCTGAAGTGAGGAGACTGTGGAATGGGGGGGGGGGGGAGTCAAAGAGATGTCAGTTGGACAAAAGGGTGTCGGTTCAGCGGAGATCATGAAGTCATCAGGGCCCTCATTGCCGAAGCTTTTGTGTCAAGGCCTGCAGCTGCCGACCTCTCTGCCCCATTAGCGGTGACCACATGACCCGCTTACGATAGCAGGTCCTCTGACTGGTCAGCCAAAGCTCACACTTGCATCTTCATGCCGTGTTGGCTGGTCGGGGGGGATGCTCATTGATTGGGGCTCTGTTAGACTCCAGGACCTTTTCCACACAGCTGTGATGATCACGTGACTCGCTGGGACTGAAACATCTGGTGATGGCCGAGGGGAGCGGTGCATACCCAGATGGAGAAATCGCAGCTTTGACGTTCAGCATCATTCTGCACGCATTAGATACCAAGTAGCCTTTGCCCAGGGGTACAGTAGGGCGTGGATACCTTGGCACATTCAAGGGCCCTGAGACTTTACAGATGCCCTTGAATATGTAAAATCATGCTAAACGTTTGGCGGGGTGGGCAAGGTGACATTTTGTCAAGGGGCCCAGAATTTCTAGCTACACCACTGCGTGTGCCACGGCCTGAATGATGTCATATTCAGTCCATGCATTCTTCACACGTCATACCGCCTGGGGTTTTTATGGTAAGGTAACCGGCGAAACAGCCATGTAGAGGCACACCGATGACTGTCATACAAGCCGATATGTTGGACCCGCCATTACGTCGGCTGTCATCCCATTCCACTTGTCACGTTAAGTGGATGGGAAGCAGGACGTGCTCCGGTAAGCAAGTCAAAAGATTGAAGAAACAAGCTCTGGCCACATTCCAGTTCACAGATAATGACAGGTGTAAAACGTGATGTTAATTCTTTTGGAGTGTTCAGTTCCGTGGAAAAGGATTTCCCCATTGGGGACAAGAAAGTCTAACTAAGTTGATGTTTGGCTGTGTGAAACAGGTCTCTTTATGCTTGAACGAGTCAGACAGGCGATAGAGCACAAACAGAGCATGCTCAGTAACGAGCAAAGCCTTGGCTCTTCTTCAGGTCATGGAAAAAGCTTGCGTGCACAAGGCTGCAGGAATAGCCAGAGAACGGGGATGATTCTTCGGTAAAGACTGCATTGCTTTGTGGATTAAACCCGAATCAGCTTTGTTAACGCACAGCAAGCAGGGAGAATACATCATTGTCCCTCAAACAGGGGTAATTAAAGATTAAGCTAATGTGCTGGAATCAACAACCATCCCACCACCAGTGGGTCCAATAACAAGGAGACCTCCACCCACGGCCTGGTGGAACCTTCTTGTCAGCTTGGATGTGCAGTGCTGGAGGCAACAATAGGATAGTGGTTGAGGAGAGCAATTCACTTATTGTTTTTTTTCACTTTCTTTCCATGAGAGGTCAGAATTGGATCCCTTAGTTTGATCAAATAACGCTATATTCTCTGCCTTGGGAGAGAGAGTGGCTTGCGAGCAAGACGGAGAAGTAGGACACGTATACATTCGGAGGCAGATAATCCTCACTGCAGAGATGCAAGGAAGGTCGGTGAGGGAAATCTCTCCCACCACATGCACACAGGAGAACAGCAAGATGAGATTCTTTGCTTGAAGAACTCAAAAATCCAACCAGAGAGCCATCTTATTCAGTCTCATACCAACAAGTCCGGGCATGCAGGGAAATCATTATTTTAGCTTTATTTACGAAAGGTGAGAATATCGAATATCTGCCGGAGGGACAAAGGTGACCGTGAGTCTCTTTAAAAAGCCTAGGGGGTCGACAGTTTGACTAGGTAGCGTGTTGGCATTGTTTCGTTGTGTGTAGGTGTGCATGTATGTTGACAGGGGGTTAAGGGTTTAAGTAATGGCTCCTCAACTCTGTGAACTACATAAGCACATTCTGTATCACGGTCAGGTTCCTGCTGCGAAACCAGGATTTTTAAACATCACATTTCTAAGGAGGCTACCAGTCAGGGGGGGACTTTTGCTTTTCCTGTATAGCTGGGAATACTCACTGATTACTGAGCACCGAGTTAAAACTAGGCTTTCTCGAAGAACCATATTACACATTAACAATTTGACAGATAGAAATCTAAGCTATTCGTTTATAGGTTGGTTCATTTCAAACAGCTCAGTTTCTCTTGTCACATGGCAAAGATAACAACACATTGAGAGCTGATGAACATAGATGTTTATGGTATACATTTAGAACAACATTCCTATTTTTAAGGACGTCAGGAAAATACACCAAAACATTAAGGTGCAACCATCAACCTAATGCATCTGACCTGTTACCATCGGCACATGGACAACAGATGTAAAATAGCCATTTTGGCTAATTCTGGCACATTTACATTCTATGTTTATTAATGTGCACTGTCCATGTCAAATAAACCATAAATAGTTAAATCAAATCAAAGTTGTTAACGAAAGAGAGAATAACACTTTTATTCAAATGTTGCCTTTATTGCTATAGTAGACAATTCCGTGGATGTTACATTCGCATGAAAGAAAGGATTTATTATGGATAGTATATTAAATCATAGGCTCCACAGTTATAGTTATCGAAGTGTGATTGCACTCAGTCATTTTGAAAATTGCTTTTAAAAAAGGGAATTCATTACTATATAAATTATTACTCTCTTAAATATTGTAATGGCCTAGGATGACAGTTTTCCAATTTTATCACCTATTTATTAAAAATCCAATCCACCCACTGCGTACCCGGTACAGGGTCGCTGGGATTTATCAGAAACACACACAGAGCTGTGCAAGTCTCAGGCTGCCAAAGAACACAGTTTAAAGCTATAGACGCTCCTCTACTTACGAACACGATACGATACATTTCGAATGGCCGTTCGTAACTTGAAATGTCCGTAAGTCGTTATTCAACATCATTTTAAGGGTATACGCAAATACTAAGAACTAGGATGCTGGGAGTACGCACGCTACGCTGCTGCACGGCCGGAGTAGCGGCCAGAAGGCGTACTAGGCGGAAAAACGTACACACATACAGATCATGTTTACCAGTGTCTGAGAAATTTAAAAACATTTACAGCACTTAATCACAAGGTGCCCAAAAGTAATCAAGTAAACATCTGCTGTAATCATGACCAATTTTCCATGAATATTTATTGACATTTAAAATCATACAGTGGATGTATGATGGATATTACAGCATATTTTGAGGTCAAAATTTCTTCTATATGTTCTTCTATAAAATAGGGAATCTTTCGACCAGGCGTGAATCAAATTGCCTCGATACTTCAACGCCGTTATTTGCACGGTACCGAAAATGTAGCCGCATGCAACGCTCGGAAACGAACATGGTGGGCGTCATAAATCACAGGCCTAGTCTTCACTCGAGACTCTACAACCTTTCACATCACAGGGCCCCGTTTAATAAGGATTTCTCACTAACTGCTCTCACTCAAGGTTCCTGTTGCCGACTTGGAGACACGGAGACCGTAAGCCACTCAGCCACGCTTACTGCTGCCCTCCGCAAACTCCACCTTAACACCTTTGACCCTGGATATATGAACATTTTTGCCCGTAAAAGAAAGGACCTTGAGATGTGTCCTCACCCTCTTTACCACCCTGTAAAATCCTTACTAGCAGGAAAGTCGAGAGAGGCAGTCTCTGTGGTTAGTGACCACCTGCAAATATGACAGTAAAAAAAAAAAATCATTTCTCAAACAATGCACACATTTGCGACTAAATCTCATACAGCTGACAACATACAATGGATCCTTAAAAGTAGAATGTAGTTCACTTCACAAAGGATAAAAGCAATTGGGTATGGAAGGCTGAATTAATATAGTAAGCAGTCGCAGTCACACCAAGACTGCCCCGATTTTCACTTAGCGACCTGGTCAATGGAACGGATCTCGGCGGCTAAACGAGGCCTGCTTATCCTTACACTCCTTCAGGTTATTTAGGTCTTGCAGGAGTACTGCTGTGGTATTTATTTTTGTAAGGCTCAGGGACAACAAAACCACTCCCCCCCCCCCCCCCCCCAAGGGAACATCTTATCTGTCTTCCACACACATTTCTCCAGTACCACGTCCCTGTCTGGGGAGCAGAGGACACGGGGCAGGGGAAACCCCAGGCTGGATGCCAGCTTGTCACAGGGTATTCACATACTAACAGGCCATGTGAAGACACTGCAGCAGGAAACTATACATAAAGAGACAAGGGCAGGAATCAAACTACACAACCCATAATGCATAGTTTCTCAACCCAGTCCTCAGGAACCCCCGGCCAGTCCATGTTTTTGCTCCCTCCGAAAGACATTTTATGGACTGGATGGGGGTCCCTGGGGAGCAGTTTGAGAAGCGCTGCCTGAGCCCGCATGGGGCCCATCTCACTTTAGGGTATTTGAATATACTGTGGCACATGCTGCATGTTAACAGCTTGGCACTATCCTGCATCACAGCGTCGGGATTTGCTTTGATTTAACCTACCTAAAACTGACCTGTATTCAGTGCCTTACACGTTGATTGACATTTTATAAAATAAAGGCCAAAAAAATCTGCGACTTTGAGATCACCGATTGTAAAACGAAAGTCTCAGCAGCAGCTACTGCTTTTGTATGACAAAGTAAGAAAATCGACATGTTAACTATCAAACTTGAGATGGTCCTGAAATTATAATTTTTAACAGCCATCCATCAGATTGATGGCCATAGTGTAATGAACATATGGTTTTTAATTAAATAGGGCGTTAGAGGGAAGGGGGGGAAAAAATCTTGCTCAACATCTATTTGAAAGACATTTATTGACAAGGGCGTTTGACAGCATGGGTCCCTGCTCTGGCTTCCGCCTTCACGTGATGGCCTTGAAGGCTCTCTTCTCCACGTATTTCACCTTGTTTCTTCTTATGAACCTGCAGGACAGTGTTCACAGTTACAGAAGTGCCATGACACTGGACAGTCAAGACTTGATATGAACCACAATGTTTTGTCACATAATAGGGCACATTCAGTCTAATCTTGGTTACGAAAGATGTAGAGGACGAAGGATCCTCCTCATATATGAAAACACACCCAAAATGTGACACTCCCTGTTCTGCATGGCGTGGAATGAAGACTAAAGTGTCTCCTCTTTGTTACAGATAAACGTGTCCCATAATACCAGCACATGAAAAGCAGAATCGCTACAAAAACACGACTGCAATTTTAATCATCTTTCTAGTCTTCCAAGTTATTAACCTGAATATTCTGCAAGGACAATTTAGGTTCTGCATGTCCCAAAGACCAAGAGCTGGATCTAATCCTGGGAATTCACCCAGCAGCTTCTGTGTCGCAAGGTAGCATCCTCACAATACCACCTAATTCCTAAATACAACTATAAAACAGAAACTTAATTTCACTCATTAAACTGACACAGCAATCCACAATGTTAGTAAACAAATTGTGGATCAATTAGACATATCTACACATGAGACAGAGTTAAATTTACTCTTTTAGAGCAGGCTGGGGTGGGAAATTTTGCTCATTGACCTTCATTTGGCTGGGGTCTCACACACCTAACTACCGATATCAATCTGCTGGAAATAGCCCCTAGAGTACTGTAATTACATTCTCCCATAAACAGGACAGTAAAGTTTTATTACAACAAGATCATTGCTTGTTATCATTAATGCACAAGCCTCTCTCTGGCAGTGATGCTACACTCGCTCAAGTGTGCAAATCCAAGAATCCTGAAAGACAGCCCTAAAGGTTTCAGACTTTCTATATTGGGGTCTGTATTATACATCCGCTTAGATGATACACTGTCTAAAATAAAATCAAGCAAAATGATGAGGAGAGAGAAAACTAGCATGTGCTGTAGCTCTATATAATGGCAGCTGACAATCCGCGATTTGGTCAGAAATCGTTGCCCAGTAACAGCCCAGGGTTACTCACTTGGCTCTCTCTCTGGGCTCAATGATGTTTCTCTTCTGTAGACTCTTAAATCTGTCTTTGAGGATGCTGCCCTCTGGCTACAACAGGAAGAATTACACAGAAAAGGGGACTGCTTAAAAACGGGTTATGAAACATGGCAAGCAAATTAAATGGATGCATTTCTAATGCCAGGTTTAGAATATTAAACATAAAAATCACAAACTAGTGAACTGATACACAACTCAGATTTTTCAGGAAACAAACACAAATTGGGCAGGCAATTCACTGGGGAAAAAAAAATTCAGTTTTGGTTAGTCTTATTCAGATTATTCTGGCTAACAGCACAATGTGAGGCAGAAGGGTCTTTAGACTCTCACCTACAGTCCAGGGTGAGACCAGAGATGGAGGGACACGGCCTGACTCACCTTGAGGGTGCGTAAGGAGCCAGAAAGCTCATCACTCAGCTGCACCTCCAGATCGGGAGCCTGGAACCTGAGAGAGCGAGTGCAGGTCAAGTCACACAATGTCATTCATCATTGAAGTTTCATAAACAATGTGTTACGTCCTGCCTACTCTGCCTACTCCATGCAAAGCGGCCAGCCCAGGCTGCTATCCAAGCCAGTTTAAAGCCATCTAAAGATAACTTCTGGATGTTAAGTACCATGGATTCAGACACTGACAGACTATATCTGCTTGAGGCCTTCCCTAAGGGCAGGACCTCAGACAGAAATCACCAGGCTTGCAGGCTGTAAAATGAAAGCAAAACGGGGGTGATCAGAGATGACTGACTTGAGCTTGCCGAGCCGTTGGGGACAGAACTTCTGCGCCTCCTTCTGGGCTTGATACTGGGCCTGCTTCTGCCTGGTGCGCTGCTCACGCCTCTTCAGGTCGGCCCGTATGGAGCGCAGCTGGAACAACTGCTGCCTCTGGTCCACCAGCTCCCTCTGTGTGCGCTTCTCCTTCTCCTGCAGGAGGGAGAACGCGCAGATGTGCAGTCGGAAAGCTCAAACATCGGATTGCCGTTACCGAGCATGCAAAAGGATGACTGATGATTTTGTTAACAGCTTGACAAACTGCTTAAAAGGTCTGAGGTTGAGATAGATGTGGCGTGGCCAATGGGAAAAGATCCGGTGCGGCAAAGGGAAAGGAAACACAAAACAGGCCCCATTAAAACAGGCTTGTTGAAGACCAGCCTCAAGGTTTCCCCGACATTTTCATACCCTCTCTTTCTGTGCCTTCTCTCGTTTCCTTTGTCTCTCCGTCTTTTTTTCCCGACCCACGGCTGGCGCGCTGCCTTTTGGCTCCTCTTCTCCTTTGGGTTCGTCCTCTTCCTCGTCATCTTCTTCCACCAACCCTTCGACTTGCTCCTGGAAGATTGTCTCCTGCAAGTATGGGGATGGAGATAGGGGCAGGTTAGGGGCAGATGTGGGCAGGAATGGCCCGGGGGGATTGTGTGAAAGGGATTAACTGAGGGGGGGCGGGTGGCAGTACCTCTGTGGCGATGTCTTCCTTCCGCACAGCCAGCTGCTGTGCCAGCTTCAGCTCCTCCTTCTGCTTCTTCTCCTCCACCATATGGGCCTCGAGCAGCAAGGCCTACACAACACACACACACACACGTGGCATTTCCCCTAAACCACAATCATGGCTGGATTCCCCCTTCCAATCAGCATCCCAAAGCTAGACCTGGATGTTTAGCAGAGTCTATTCCTGAAGCTGATCTTGTGGTGCATTAATGCAGAAGCGACAAGTGAATTAATAAGAGCAGCTTCATCAATAAGCCAGGTCCCTGCGGTTTACCTCCACAAAAAAGCAAATCTATCTATACGGTAAGAGATTCAGAACATTAAGGCCTCTAGACCACGTTATACTCAAGGCCCACATCTGCTTGCCCAACTAAGTCACCCCCCTGTTCATCTGTCGCCCCCCTACCCACGAAGGTCACCCCCCCCAGCCTGCCTAGTCTATCTGGGCGGTCGAGATTGTCCTGAAACTCAGCACCAGGAACCAGATTCCTCAGCTTCGGTGGAAAGCACCTGTGGTCATTCATCTACTCTTACTGCGCTGCGATTCCCTCTGGTTAATTTTTAACAGTGATACTCTTAACTTCGCCGAGTTCTTATCACGTAGAAGTATTTTTCTGTATAAACATCAGACTTTGTAGGAGTCACCTTGCTTCAGAGTGCTGACATGCTTATTTTTTTACAAAGAACCTCATAAAAAACAGATGGAAAGTACCTGTAGTTATTTTTTTTTAGCCGATCTGATTTCCTGGTAAAAGTGCCTTAAATGCCACGGGGAGACTGACTTGCAGAGGAGTCTCTGCCTTGCTCCGTCACACACATACACACGAATGATCCTCTCAAATGCGTTAGCATACTGGCTGCGTTTCTGGTAACATTCGAGTTTGGTAACAGACAGTCTTCATCTCATCATCCACACTCTTTCCAGTGCTGGTGTAATTTATTAGGGCACTTCATTTTGCACTTTGTTATTTTTACATTTAATATTCCCTATACAAGTATGTACCCTGTTTATATAAAATAGAGAAGGCAAATCACTTCAACACTGTCAAAGCATAGAGAAAATGTTTGCAGAGTATGGATTGGGCAGGTAGCTCACGTGACGTTACCCTTTATTTCTTAATATAATACTGCTGTCTGTACAGGTACTGTACATACTGTGTACACTAATTTAAAATGGAATAGACAAAACACCTACAGGTTATCAAAGTTAGGTAGCATTTGTAATGTTTTTCTGTCCTTGATTATATATAGCACAGACATAACCTAGACCTAATCACTCATGCCGTCAGTAATTGGTGGTTTTTAATATGGCCCTTCCAGCGACTGGTTTTGACATCCCCACCATAGATCACGCCCAGTTACACAATTCTCAAATAGAGAGATTCCACCTGAAACATAAGGCAACATTCTAGGTAAACTGCAGATACACTAATCTATCAAAATCATGAGCAGAGGAAGATTTCAACCTAGGGATTCATGAAGTGTTCTCCTCCAAGACTAGTCAGCAAATCACAGTATGCAGCGGGAAAATGGCCAAGCTGAATGGCGTCTCTGGTCTGCGTCTGACCGGACCTGAGGGCAGCTGGCAGTACCTGATGGTCAAAGAAGTCCGGGTTGTAGGATCCTCCTGGGCCAATGATTTCCACAGCTGGCAGAGAAGAAGGCTTCTCATTGAGCCTGTCAGGACGCTGAGAAAGAGTCGAGTCGAAAGAAGTAGCTTTAAATCAGAAAGGACTTATTATGAAACACACACAAACATGCAGCATTGCGTAAAAGTCTTTGGCAACGACAACTACACTTATGATCTTCATGTTGGTATAAAACTGACTTATGTCTGAGTACTTTAGCTTAGCAATTCCAAAACCTTTCTGCAGTAGCCATCAAACATATTCATACTTGTTGACTGAATCACTAGCAATACTCAAATTATTTCACTACATTATTTAATTAAAAACTGAATGACCTGATGGTTAAATGTAACAAATACATGGAACGGCTGAGGTGCCCCTGAAGAGGTTAGGGAACTGAAGTGGTGTTTATCTAGCCATCCGACAGGACATCAGCAACGTTTTGTTACAGTTCATTTGCAGTGGAGTCAGAAAATACAGTAAATGGCTCATGGAGCATCGTTTTAACCATCACTACTCCAGACTCTCGGCAAATCGACAAGTAAGCAAGTTCGGCATATTGGGTTGGCAATTCTCATCTGAATCTAAAGACCCACAGGAGATGTTTATGATACAGTTTATTAATTCCTATTTAAAATGCATACAATTACCTTATTGGCCACTGGCACTGTTATTAATTAAATTCATTTTGATTGGTGTAAGTCATAAAGTTTTGCAGTTGCATTCCCCTAACCCTATTCTTCCCATTGGATACATGTATTTTGTATTTTACCGCAGGAGGTTTTTCCAGGAACGCGGTAGTAGCACTGTAGTGGGACTGACTATCTGCTGTGCTCGTCTCTCTTGATGAATATACCCTAACTACTCCAGCATACTGCAGAGCGAATGTTTAAAACAGCCCCAACATATCAACAAACAAACAAAAACAAACAAAAAAAAAAAAAACACTGAAAACCAGAAAAAGTCACTTACCTTCACAGGCTTCTTTTTTGTTTGTTCCAGGTAAAAGGCATCTCCAGATAGCATCTCTGCCAGGCAGAAGGTATAAGACAAAAGCTGAAGACTCAGTATGCTATGGTAGGTCACCCGCATGCGCCACCAAGCTCACTCACCTTCCTGTCCCCATATATCGTAGAAGGGTCTGCTGGGGTCATCATCAGGCAGACTCTTCTCACTGGAAGATGTGGCGCCCCCTGCTTTCCTCCTCTGGAGCTGCTTCTGGCTTCTCAGCTGTAACCCTTTAGCCACCTGCTTCTCGACCCTCTGAGAAATGCGCCGGAGTTTCTTGGCGTTCGGCTGCTGATGGGCCAAAATGCTGTGGAGGACGGGCCACAGAAATGTCGATATTACAGCGCCCGCCAGACGCTAAAAAATCTGATAGACAAGTTAGACATACCCATCCTGTACAGACGCGGAAGGCAAACAATGGAACCACAAGGCAAAGAAGCAGGCATCGAACCACAGCACAGAGTGACTGCTGGAAGTCAAAGTTACAAGCTGGAGGAAGGGGAGACACCGTGACCCTCAGTTCCCTGGGCACTGCCCACTTGGCAGCGACCAGGATATATGGAGCATCTTCACATTCCCACAGGAATACTGTGAGCGCAAGGATGGAATCATCATCGGGCACGGAGTAACAAGGACAGGGAGACAAAGGAACTAGAGATATAGGGGTTGATTCTCCAATGCGCTTCAGTCAAATAGGAGCATCGCTTTGTGCTTTTCTCACTCAAGCCTATTCTCACTTAAGCAGTGCATTTTTTTACTATGTGCTTTGGTAGTGAAGTAGTTAATCAGTTGGCGAGAAAAAAACGGACAATACAAAACAACCTAAGATATGCAGGTATCTTATACTGATTGTCTATTGTGGATTACTTGGAATAAATCATTCCTATTAGCTACTTCAGATCATTAAATCAGTTATGACATTTTAATGTAGGTAATAGGATGATGTCAATTGCTCTGTGCAAAACTCAAACACTTTCAGTATAAAGACTATACGCTACAGTCATGCTTTCATTCTCAAAATAAAACGGTTTCTGTGGATTTCAATTATGTACACGATGTAAATGAAATAGTCTATGTTCTGGATCCCCCTTTTGCTGCTTGATGTATTAATTATACTTCTTGAAAGGGAGCACCTACATTCTTTGGGTTAACCACAGTGGGCATTACACTTCACTCAAATGTGCGTAACTTAAGCGCCTCATGGAAGACGACCCCATAATGAATTAAAAGGGGGAGGAAAAGAAAATCTTAGAAGAACACTAAAGTCACAAGACAAAAGCACAAAAATAAATAGCTAAATACTGATGCGAGGCGTAAGAACACAAGACGTTCACATGCATGGTTAGGCGGAGCTACAGGTATAGCTTGATTATCGAAGGTAGACGACACTGCCGTATGGTACTGGAGTGTTCCAACAACGCATCCTCTGCTATGCTCCACTTTGTGCCCTGTCTACTACAAACTGCTTATAGTGATCACAATTATAGTGATCAATCACTTATATGGATCAAAAAGCTTGGGACCGAATCATTCCTGTACAAATACTGTTTAAATAATTTGCTTATAGTAATCACTGCGATGGGTTGGCACCCCATTCTGGGTTGTTTCCTGCCTTGCACCCATAGCCTCTTGATAGGCTACAGCCCCCACCCCGAATAGGACAAGCGGTTACAGAAAATGGATGGATTTAATTGGACTACTGTCCACAGACTTGCTCATACTTACTCTTTGGGCGAAGGAACGAGAGAATCATGCTGTAAGATCAGGTCAACCCTCAGGGGCTTCGATGATTTGCCCCTCTTTGTCACAGGCGCTGCGAAACATAAGATTATGAATATAATGACATTATTAGCAAAGGCTATTATGAAATCTTTTTTTTTTATATACTGAAGTCCTGACATCAAGCTCAGCACAGTAAAGGTAAAAAAAAAAACTGATGGCAAACTTGCACATAGTCAATGATCTTTTGAGAAAGGGTGTAGGTTTGTTGGGGAAGTACTGCCTCCGCCCAGCCGAACGTGGAGGGCCTAAACCCACACCTCAAACATTTAATCACCTGTTTCGATGATTTGCCTAAACATGGTTACAGGGACAGCATCCCTTTCATGTAAGGGAGCAGCTTATATGTTCAGTCAGTAACATACCTTCCTGGGCAACTTTGTTCTGGTCTCCAGTGTCCACAAAAAACAAGCTGTCGTCTGGCTTCTCTGACAGCAGGCCTCTAGAACAAAGAAATAACCATTACATATAAAACATTTTAGATTGATAAAGTGATGGCATTTCAGTATGCTATACACTACGATATAATATCTGTCTCATGATATGCCACTACCAGAGCCTTTTAGCACATTAAGGCATGGCAACAATTACAATACCCCTCTCAATCCTCTCACTTTTTAAACTGCTTACACAACAACATTGAACACTATCTGTGGACAGAGCACTGATGCGAACCCTGATAGCTTTTCCCCACTTGTTGTCAATAGCGTACTTAAACGTAAAAGGTTATGGGAACAGGCGAAACAACACGATCATTACAGATATAAAACCACATATCAGTGGAAAGGCGGATGATTCGTTGTTTGCAGTGAACTCGGCTACGTAAACATCTGCTTATAAAGTGAATAGGTCATTAATAGGCTCCTGACATGTTGTATTTTCGTCTGCGGAGAAGCTTGTGTTACGACTAATCTACCCAAAGGGCCTTTTGATCAAATTCAAGGTTCGGTACTTTTTCCTGAAATTAAGCATACATACCAAATTTCTTATTGTCCAAATGTTCACTACTAGTAATATTTTGAAAATGAAAAGTATATCTTCAACACTGATGCGTGAAACTAGGCACCATTTTATTCCAAACTTGTACAAATTATAACTTGTAAAACAAACCTTTTTTGGAGGGGGGAGTAAGCTGATTGCCCTTCTAAGCAGTATTTGGTTTAAAAAAAAAAAAAAAGATTACTACATATAAGTAAATTACTTAAGTAACTACAAATGCAGTTACTGGATTGTAACTAGATCTCATATTTAGCAAGATAAATAAGTAGTTTTACCGGGTTGACTAGTTCAAACAAACGTGTGACTTCAAAAACAACAAACGACTTTTAAAAATGAACTCTTTAACCAGTTGTCTAGGACAAACACTCACCCTGTGGCTCTCTCCTGTAGTCTCACATCATCCAAAAAGTCTTCGATATCTTGGATGTCACTGTATTTGTTCCAGTTTTTCTTTTTATTTCTGTTAACACGCTTTCTCTTTCCGATTCGCGAAGAATTCTGTTCACGAGTGTGATTAAGCGAAAGAAACCCATGCTGCCCAGCAGCCACGCGTTTTATTCGTTTTGCTGCTACTGCCGCCATATTAAAAAGGGAAGTAACAACGACGGCGCAGACAGATGACGTCACAGAACAGCGAGCTCTGTCGACCTTCCGGCAGGTGTGTTGCCTAATCCGTCCGGATTTAGACGTTTCAAAATTAGTCAGTTTTATGTGGGTAAGTACGTCCACACATACAGGGAATGTATCTCACATACATAGAGTAGATACAGTGTTTCAATTGTATTTTTTTTCCCAAAAAAGCACGGTATCGGGAACCATCATGGTTGTTTGAACACTGTGGCACTATAATCAAGGAGGGTCTATAGAAAAACAGTTATAGCTTGGATAAGTATTTTTAGTTGGCAAGAGAGCAGAAAATCATCTCTATGAATGTGTGTATATCTTGTCCTTTTTGAAAAGTTATGGACTAACATAACCTTAAACCTAACCCTAACCCCAAAAGCTCTGAATGGCATTCCCCAGAGTTCTACACAAACCCCCTCATTTTCTTTGCTCTCAGTGGACAATTTATGTTAGTTCCCTTAGTGGTAAGGGCTACATTGGACTGCAGAGGATTGTTTCGTTTACAGTGGACCCTCGATTTACAACCACCCTGACATACAAACAACTTGGGTTACAACCAAAATTTTAGTTTTAACTTACGACCAAAGTCTTGAGTTACGACCCGAATGCCAGTAGAGGCCAAAGCGTGTGGCTGTAAACAAAGAGCCGAGATGCCCGAGAGGCGCCTGTAAGCGTCAGTCTGAGCCCAGATACGCCTGTTTGTGGGCGTCATTTCGGTCAGTGCAGTGCTTTATATAATTAATTTAGCTAATTGCTATCAAAATGGCCCAAAAAAGCAAAAAAAAAAAATAAGCTAAGGAAAGAAGAGAAAGTAAAGAAATCAATCAGTCAAAAAGAAGGAAATTGTGCAGAAATATGAGTGGCATTTGTGTGACTGATCTCACTAATATGTACAGCATGTCGAAATCCACCATCTCGACAATCTTACAAAGTAAAGATTTGTATAAGGAAGCTAGTGTTGCTAAATTAGTAAGTCACGATCAACAGAGTTAGACGAGGTAGAAAGGCTGTTACTAGTGTGGATAAATGAAAGGCAGATGGTGAGTACACTGGGAAAAATATTAGTTTCTGGTAAATTAAGCACGTTATACAAACCTTTTTTTAATCACGAAAAGGTTAGGTAAGGGGTGCTTTGGGAGGTTTCCTCATTTCTTATGGGGAAAAATAGTCTTGACTTACAACCAGCTCTCGCAAACAAATTGAGTTCGTAAGTCAAGGGTCCACTGTATCTTACATGGACACTAGCTCTTGGTAGTCACTCACCCCAGCTATGATTATATAATTATAGTCTGAGACACAGAGCTGGGTGGGGATCCTTGTCATTAACTATTGTTGAACTGTACTGTCAGTGCTATCACTCTGTATGTGGATGATGTGGCCATGTGTCGTTAGGCTGCTGCTGTTCAGGATTCTTCATCCCTGTGTCTCCACCTGCCTCTCTCTGCTCCTCTTGCTGCCATAATTAGCCTTGCCAGAGCTCCTTTATTACCGTAACCCAGCTCTCTTGCATTGCCTCTCTCCTGCTGTGCTCTTGCTGACACACTTTCAATTTATTGTCCCATCTTCCAGGATGAACGACTTGGAGGTCCCAAATCAAGGGAGACAGCCTGCACAGCAGCCTCCCTGTGTTTCTACATGTGCTACCCAAACCCCTCGCCATCTACCCAAGCCACCTCACCTGCCCATCTGCCGGCTTTTCCTGTGCTGTCCTGCTATCCGCCTGAATTAACATTTTGCTACTTCATGGATTCCCAAACTTTTCAGTGGCAAGGACTCAGCCCCCTCATTTCTGAGATTTCTGTGAGGGTTTTCCTTGTTCTCAGAGAACTTTGGCCAGGTGTAGTTGCTTTTTGGAAGATTCTTTCTGGTAATGCTCCTTGTTAAAAACACAGTGTAATAATACAACTCATATCCACTATACAATGTTTACAGACAACAGGTGAGACTTAATTCCTCGTTCTCAAAATACTAATATGCAAATTTTCTCCAGTAACTTGTTAAATGTTCACATAAAGAAATGCCTTTACTTACTGCATGAGTAGCATAATTTGATATATATAATTTCATATTAATTTATCCTTCCAGGTAAGGTACAGTATCCCCAATTCGTAGCAGACTCTTTAATATTTAACTTAAAACCAAGTTTTTTTTAACTTACAGGATTTTATACGACAAAGTCAAAAAATAACTTGATAACATGACAATGTCCCTTACCATATTATCATAACATACTACTTACTATTCTACTTAGTAGAAAGCCACAAAATAAACGTATCAAAATGACTGTGATAATAAGTTTGTTTAGTTTAAATTTAGCCTTCTACATCTTAAATATATACGTGATATTTATGCAAACTGTTAAGAGGAACAAGGCAGTAAAAATGGAGCCCTACTAGGAACCCCAATGCATCATGGGAAGACAGTGCCTGACACGACGGCCATTTTCCCGTTGGACGCTCCGCTTCCATTGTGTGAACCTACAGTAAATACTGAGACGGCTAGTTTAGCCAAACAAGATTTTCACTCTCTACGACCGCACATTTTAAAGGTAAGTGTCTACAAATTAGGTAATCGTGTTCCTAAAGTGTTTACGCATTTATTGAGTATTTTGGAATTATTTTTAAATCAGTATTTTGTTTTTTTCTCGCCAAAACCGAAAAAACAAACCACACTGCGAAGCGCCTGAGAAAAAACCGTCTTTCTGCTCTCAGAAACCAGAAAATCAATTTCATTTCACAGCGTGTTTCACTTCGGATAAACATAACCGTTCCAAGTTGGTTCGCGTCTTTTTATATATTTTTGGATTCCCCCAAGTGTCTAGTTTCATCTTTGCCGCGTCGATATGCGTAAATCGGTAATATTTTTTATCTTTTTCCAGTTCCAATTTAGCCGCGTATAGGTACTATTACGCAGATCCTCGTCCCGGCTCTGCTATAACAGCAGCCATCGTTTCCTCGCCGCTGAGGGCGGGACTCGTTGTGCAAGTGTGGGAGTGGTGCGAATGGCAGGTCCCGCCCTCCTGATTCATGGGAAGAGTTCCGATTGGTTGTTATATGCGGTCGCTTGTAATTGATTGGCTACATGTCTGCTTTAAAGACTTGTCCATCAGAGTACTTCATTTTTAATTCACGACCGCTCGAGCAGGTGTGTCCGAGGTCTCCCCCCTTTTTTTTCTTTCTCGACGATAACTTCCTAAGTTGTTCGTAAAACTGCAGGGAAAACGAGAGCCTATTAAAAATGTATAATTCCACTCTCGATTTTTGTTTTTGAGTTTGGAAGTGGTGTTAAGTGTTTACTGTTCCTCCTTATAATTACGGTATATGTATTTTCAGTCATTTGTGTTTCGCAATTGACCGTTTTATGTACTTCCTATTTTAATGTAAAGAAATTTTAATGCGTTGCAGTTAAATATCCAAATATTTATTTGAAGTTTTTATTTTAAATGTTCACAGTTACATGTCAACATATAATAACAAAATAACAAAAACAAACAAATTAGGAAAAAACTAATGGAACTATGGGATCAAAAAAACTGTAGCAGTCCATTGTCCAACCATAAGGACACTGGGAACCTTAAGTAGGATACAAGTTTATTTGTTACGGTTAATTTATTGATACAAATTAACTTATTTGCATGTTTAGGGGAACATGCAACCCGTGTATTCCTAATTTGGACTGTCACTTTCAGGTGACCTTAAGGTGCCATGGCTCGTACCAAGCAGACCGCCCGTAAGTCAACTGGAGGCAAGGCTCCACGTAAGCAGCTGGCCACCAAAGCTGCCCGCAAGAGTGCCCCCTCTACTGGTGGGGTCAAAAAGCCTCATCGCTACAGGTGAGGAAAAAAGAACAAGAACAACAAGTAGATTTTTTTTAAGTAGATTCAGTCGCATGTCAAGTCAAGTCAAATGTCTTTCAAATTAGGCTATTTAAGAATGCACTCGCTTTTGTTGAATTAGATCAGCCTTGGAATGGAGTTGTGTATCAGTCTGTTCATATATGCAGCAGTACAACACTTAATTGTATTCTTGTAGTTCAGCTTGTAGCTCACAGCAGTTGTGTTGCTATTGTGTGGTGTATTCAGATATTTTCCTCCTACAGGCCCGGAACCGTCGCCTTGCGTGAGATCCGTCGGTACCAGAAGTCCACAGAGTTGCTGATCCGCAAGCTGCCCTTCCAGCGGCTGGTGAGAGAAATTGCTCAGGACTTCAAGACCGACCTGCGCTTCCAGAGTGCTGCCATTGGGGCTCTACAGGTCAGTCACCCCATGCTTACAGTCACATGGTTCTTTGGGGGGGGGGGGTGTTTCTTGGCTTACGGCTGCTAAAAACATTGTTGTTATCTTTTTGTTAAGGGATGAGTGTTATTCTTACTGGGTCCTTTGTCTATTTGAATGCAGGAGGCCAGTGAGGCGTACCTGGTGGGCCTGTTTGAGGACACCAACCTGTGCGCCATCCATGCCAAGCGTGTCACCATCATGCCCAAAGACATCCAGCTGGCCCGTCGCATCCGCGGGGAGCGTGCTTAAACCTCCCCAGCTTGGTTCTCCTCCTTTCCTCCTCCACGGTGTCTGTCTTCCCCTCCCTTTCTCAAAGCTCCACGCTCCTCTTCTGTTTGTAGTGCTTAGATTAACAATGATTATGATGACAAAGTGTGTAATTGTGTCTTTCTTAGTGCTGTTGGCAGCAGACCTTTAGGGTACCTTTTTGTGCATGTACCAGCCTAGTGCTGATCAGACACACATTCTCACAAGAATATCAAAGCAACTGGTTCCCGGCTTAGGAAGCCTGTCTCTGGTCAGGGAGAGTTCATGAGGTCAGCTCTTTAAAATAATGGAGGTACACTGTAGTACCTGGGTGACAGATGGGCTCCCAGCTGGGGGGGGTGAAGCCGCAGAAAGGTGGATGAGGCAGGAGGGTGATGCCAGGGTTGATCTGCTGGGGGCCGTGGTGGGGGGGGGGGGGGTGACTGTTCCCGCAGCAGGGTGCTAACACTGCCC